AAAAAAAAAAAAAAAAAAAAAAAAAAAAAGGATATTAATCTTAGTCTTTACAACAGTATTGTAAAGTATGTATTATTATCTAATTTGGAGGTGAGAAAAGTGAGGCTGAACAACTGATCTACCTAACATCTGAGGCTCAAAGGCCTGCCTACCAAGGCGACTGTGAAGCCTCCAATTCTAAGTTCCATGAAGTTTCTCCCATGACACCCCCATCTATGATACTATCTTGAATTTCCTTCTACTCACACCAATCTGAGTGCCTTTCCTGAAAGGCTTTCAGGGCTGGCGCCTCAGGAAGCAGCAGTCAGCATAAAGGGAGCCTTACACGGGGTTTCTCATTATAGAGGTGTGCTCTGAGGCTCTCCTTTCTGCTGTAACCTGCCTCCATGCTGTGGAGGTGTTCCTTCTTAAGCCCCTCTCAGAGCCCTCATCCTTCCAGGTGGGAGGCCTGGGCAGCCAGGGACAGCTACCTGTGGAAAGCCTCAGAAGAGCACCTCCCCTCCTGCTAACAGGAGACAAGATGCGTCTACCAAGGAGCCTGCTGGGCAGCTAACAGCAACCTCTATTCCTCGGCCTCAGCCCTCCTTTGTCCTGTCCTTCCATTCTCTCTTCCTAGTGAGGAAACAGAGAAAGACCACACTGTGGGGAGGCTGGTTGCACGCTCCTGAGGCCAAAGCAGAAGGGGTGGGCTAGGATGCTTATTCCTTATGACAGAGTCTGTGCTTTCTGGACAGCAGGGGGCATACGGCATCATAGGAAGGGCAGAAAAAGAGGACAAGGCACTTCCACAACAGAAGCTGGGCTTTCCCAAACAGCATTTCCTTCTATGGGATGACTTTGAGGTGATAAAATCGAAGTCACTCAGAACTGGCTTGTGATCAGCTGCAGTGTCTTATGGAGTGCCTCAGACAGGACAGAACATAGACATTCTCCTGTCCCACATGGGGCAACTGGTGGCTCACAAGTCCCCTTCCCACCAGCAAGAAGCTCTACTTACACATACCGACTGCCCCATTTCTCTTTACCTTGGGTTATTCTGTTTTGTCTAAAAATTTCAATAAAACTTACAAACCTCTTCTTGAAGCTTTGAATTAGTCTTTTCCAAGCCATCTATCTTGGTTTGAAGATCCCCAACTGTGCAGCTGTAGAAAATAATAATATTAGGTAAACATAAACTTATAAAAACTGACTGTTTCCTCAACCCGTAAACAATAAGAGAGATTCCTAGATTTCCTGTATTAAATGGAAAGGCAAAGGAGTCTCCAATTAACTCAGAGAAGATGAGAATTCTAAATATACATATGTGACATACTTTTCAGTAAGTTTTATCCCTAAAATACACTCTTTTTTTTGAGACGAAGTCTCGCTCTGTTGCCCAGGCTAGAGTGCAGTGGAGTGATCTCAGCTCATTGCAACCTCTGGCTCCCTGGTTCAAGCGATTCTCCAGCCTCAGCCTCCCAAGTAGCTAAGACTACAGGTATGTCCCACTGCACCTGGCTAATTTTTTTTTATTTTTAGTAGAGACGGGGTTTCACCATATTTGCCAGGGTGGTCTCAAATTCCTGACCTCAGGTGACGCTGCCTGTCTTGGCCTCCCAAAGTGCTGAGATTACAGGTGTGAGCCACTGTGCCCAGCCTATTTCTTTTTTAGTCACTTAGAAAAAGAATTTTTTTCTCCCAACACAAAAGGTGATAGAAACCAAAATGTGCTGGCAGTCATATACCTAAAATAAAATTCATTAACAAGGTATTGGTATTTTGGGGTAAAAAGATCCAGGATATTTTAAAATACCTTTTATACCTTCCCCATTTAAAAATATTCTTTAAGTAATATGTATTACTTTTTTCTTTTTTATTTTTGAAACAGGGTCTTGCTCTGTTGCCCAGGTTGGAGTGCAGTGGTGTGATCATGGCTCACTGCAGCCTCGACCTCCCAGGCTCAAGTGATCCTCCCACCTTGTCAAGCTAAAGTTTGTATTTTTTTTGGAGACGTGGGGTTTCACTATGTTGCCCAGGCTAATCTTGAACTCCTGGGCTCAGGGTATCCTCCTCCTGCCTCAGCCTCCCAAACTGCTGACATTATAGGCGTGAGCTTCCATGCCTGGCCTCTATGCGCTTTAAATACATCAACTCATTTAATCTTCCCCACAATTTGATGAGGTAGATCCTACTGTTAGCCTATTTTACAGACAAGGCAGCCATAATTTTACATAAAAGAATTAACTCAAGTTTACACAACTACAAAGGGCTGCTGGCATCTGAACTCAGGGGATTTGGCTCTAGAGCCTGTACTTCTGGGCAACAGGCCATGCTGCCAAAGACCAGTCCCTGTTGCCAGTGAGTGGGGGACAAAGAAATAAACTTGGTAGGGCTAATGAACCAAGGTTTAGGAACCAGGAGCAAATATAAAAATACAAAGACACAAAATGAAAAAGGGAAAAAAACAAAGATACAGAGGGAATTAAAAATTTTAAGAGTATACAATTTTAAGAGTCAATTCTGTGCCAACTTGACAACTTAGAAAATACCTCCAAATTTTATATTTTTTCTTAAAAATATAAATGACCAAAGAAAGATATATCCTCAAAAGAAAACCTAATGAACTAACAACTAAAAAGCTAGTAAGGCACTGCCTCATAAATGCTTTAAGCTTCATTTTTTTTTTTGTTTTGAGATGGAGTCTCGCTCTGTTGCCCAGGTTGGAGTCCAGTGGCATGATCTTGGCTCACTGCAACCTCTGCTCCCTGGGTTCAACCGATTCCCCTGCTTCAACCTCAAGTAGGTGGGACTACATGTGCCCAACACCACGCCCAGCTAATTTTTGTATTTTTAGCAGAGACAGGGTTTTACCATGTTGGCCAGACTGGTCTCAAACTCCTGATCGCAGATAATCTAACCACCTCCTGTATCACAGGGATAAGGTGTGAGATTACAGGTGTGAGCCACTGTGCCCGGCTACTTCATATTTTCAAGGGACAAATAATGCCCATGATCTAGAAACTGTTCCCAGGCATAAGGCAAAGCTTACTAATTCATTTTGCAATGCTACATAAGCCTGATATGATGGCAGATAAAGAAAACTATAAAATTCCCAGAAAGTCAAGTTGCCTATTAAAAGGATAACTGAATTATTAAAACTATAATCCTGGCTGAACAAGGTGGCTCATGCCTATAATCCCAGCACTTTGGAGGCTAAGTGGGGAGGACCGCTTGAGGACAAGAGTTTGAGACCACTCTGGGCAACAAATTGAGACCCTATCTCTACAAAAAATTAGCCAGGTGTGGTGGTGTGTACTTGTAGTTCCTGCTACTTGGAAGGTTAAGGTGGGCAAATCACCCGAGCCCAGGGAGGTGGAAGCTGCAGTGAGCCATGATTGTACCACTGTACTCCAGCCTGGATGACAGTCTAAGCCACTTGTCTCAAAAAAATCATAATAAAAAATGATCAAGTGGAGTTTATCCCTGTAATACAGGAAGGACCCAGTGTGAAGATGTCCATTAATAAAATACACCACACAGTAGATTAAGGGATAAAAACCATGATTATTTTAATGGACACTAAAAGGCATTTGATAAAATTCAATATCTTTTTTATTTTATTTTTTTTTTTAGACGGAGTTTTGCTCTTGTTGCCCAGACTGGAGTGCAATGGTGTGATCTTGGCTCACCACAACCTCTGCCTCCCAGGTTCAAGCGATTCCCCTGCCTCAGCCTCCTGGGTAGCTGAAATTACAGGCATGTGCCATCACACCTGGCTAATTTTGTATTTTTAGTAGAGACAGGGTTTCTCCATGTTGGTCAGGCTGGTCTCAAACTCCCGACCTCATGTGATCCACCCACCTCAGCTTCCCAAGTGTTGGTATTACAGGCGTAAGCCACAGTGCCTGGCCTATTTCTTATAAATATTCTCAATAAACTAGGAATCGACCAAAAACCTTTTTCAAAAAATAGCCACCAGCACAGTTAAGAAGAGCTCCAGGCTGGGTCTGGTGGCTTATGCCTATAATCCTAGCACTTTGGGCAGCTGAGACGGGAGGACTGCTTGAGTGCAAGAGTTCGAGATCAGTCTGGGCAACATGGCAAACCCCTGTCTCTACAAAAATTAGCCAGGATGGGTGGTGCGTGCCTGTAGTCCCAGCTGCCCAGGAGGCTGAGGTGGGAGAATAAACTGCTTGAGCCTGGGAAATCGAGGCTACAGTGAGCCGAGACACCCTGTCAAAAAAAAATAAAAATAAAAATAAAAATAAAAAACAGCCCCAAAGTGATGTGTCCCTAACTATATTGGAAGGAACATGTCGGCTTCTTCACCTGACTTTTGGGGCCAGAGAGGCTGCCCCTAAGGAGAACTGTAATATGCAATGTACTCTCTAGAGAGGACTCAGAAATGGAATGACATGTCTCTCTGCATTCCCCACGAATACCTCCAAGGATTAGTATTTCATGAAACATATCCACAGATTTCCAGCAAAAATTTAAAAAAATCAAGATAAAGATGCCTGTGATCACTAGTATGTTGCTCTGGAGAGCCTAGCCCAGTGGTTCTCCACTCTTTTTCCTGCCGTAATGCACTGGGTGCTGTGTGCCAATTCCCAGCAGCAATAGTGCTTGCCATGATGGGATTTCCAACCACAAAGCTATGGGGTGAGCAGTAGAGAGTCAAGGTTTAATGTTATTTTTCTGTATTATATAACTGCATAAAGCACAGAATAAAGATTTCCCAAGCATTTATCAAGAAGAAACATACTTCTCCAGTTTGTACAAATAAATGTTGCCTGAATGATGGTCTTTTTTTCTTGGTTTGAAAACAAGTTATTTATAAATATACGGCAACTCAAAGAAGTTCCATGCAACAATGATAGAATACTGAGTATGTAACTGTCATGTTGAAAAAAAAAAAAGTCTTACCTCAAGTGCCGGTTAAGTTCTTCCACATAATTTTTTTGATCAAGGACATCAGTAATTCTTTCATGCCTTTTAAAAGGAGTACAAAAAGGGATACTTTTTAAAAAAATTCATGGTTAATACTTTGTAACTGTTCCCCAACCTTCCAATCACCTTGTAGAAGTACCAATGTCTTCAAGAAACCAAGAGACAGCCAGAGCTTAGTAACATCCACATTCCCAGAGTACAGAGAGCAAGGCCGGTCAGGGACACAGTAGCCAGTGCCTCCAGGGCCAGGCTGCCAGGAGAGTGGGCCCCCTGCAGACCAAGGTTTCAGGAAGCAAGCAAGGTGAAAATACCAACCTGCCACATGCAAATGGCTTTGGAAGTGGCAGATAACACAACCCTTATTATACTGAAGGAAAGGAGAGCATGAAACTTTTCAAAACACCAAGTGGATCAGTCTAAAGTCTAGGGCAGTTTGGGTTAAAAAAAAATTATTTATGTGCATTTCTACAGGAACAGGGAAAGAAAAAAATAAAAATAAAAAGTGCTGTAATCTCAGCACTTTGGGAGGCCAAGGCAGGTGGATCGCTTGAGTCCAGGATTTTAAGGCCAGCCTGGGCAACATATTGAAACCCTGTCTCTAAAAAAATACAAAAATTAGCTGGGCATGGTGATGCACACCTGTAGTCCCAGCTACTCCTGTGGTCCCTCCACCTCCTAAGGTAGCAGATTGCTTGAACCCAGGAGGTTGAAGCTACACTGAGTGATGACCATGCCACTGCACTCTAACCTGGGTGACAGAGTAAGATCGTGAGGCAAAAAAAAAAAGAAAAAAAAGTCTTTAACATTTTAAAGTTAGGTTCTCCTAATTTTTCTTTCTCTCTTTTTTTTTTTTTTAATGGAGCATCAGGCAATCAAGGCTCTCCTAATTTCTTTACATACATATATCCATATGTAATCCATATAAAAGGGGATTATCCTACACAGGTTCATGACATGGGTGCTGTGTTTGTTTTCTGGTATAGTCATATTTTTCCTTTAACGTGCTCTGCTCTCCAGGTTGCCCATACTGATAGCCTGTGGAGTATGCTTTTTTTTTTTTTTTGACACAGCTTGTTCTGTTATCAGGCAGGAGTGCAGAGGTACAATCTCAGCTCACTGCAACCTCCACCTTCCCAGTTCAAGTGATTCTCCTGCCTCAGCCTCCTGAGTAGCTGGGACTACAAGTGCCAGCTACCATGCCCAGCTAATTTTTGTATTTTTAATAGAGACGGATTTCACCATGTTGGCCAGGATAGTCTCGATCTCTTGACCTTGTGATCTGCCCTCCTCGGCCTCCCAAAGTGTGGGGATTACAGGTGTGAGCCACCATGCCTAGCCAGAGTATCCTTCTATGTGCATATATAATCATGGTATCTATCTAATATACATATAGTACATACAATTACAATATAAAATATATACTAGGAATTTTTTGACTTGCTTATAAAAACAGGATATATATACTCCTTAGAATCATACTTTCCTCATTCAATATAGTATAGTCTCATTCAATATACCGGTAGCTCCAATTTTTTTTTTTGTCTGCAAAATATACCACAGTGTAGAATATTACGGATGTTCCATAATTAATTCAATTATTTCCTTAGTGGTAGATACTCAGTTTATTTTAGCTTTTGTATTTTGACATTTAGAGTTTATTTTGGCCAGCCGTGGTGGCTCACACCTGTAATCCCAGCACTCTGGGAGGCTGAGGCAGGTGGATCACCTGAGGTCAGGAGTTCAAGACCAGCCTGACCAACATGGTGAAACCCTGTCTTTAAAAAAAATTTAAAAAAAAAAAAAAATTTTATTTTGTGGTTACCCGTGTTGGCACACGCCTGTAATCCCAGCACTTTGGGAGGCTGAGGTGGGCGGATCACCTGAGGTCAAGAGTTCGAGACCAGCCTGGCCAACATGGTGAAACCTCGTCTTTACGAAGAAAAAAAAAAGTAGTTGGAAGGCAGGTAACATATGCACAAGATGAAATAGTCAAATGAAATCCCAGGGTTTACAGTGAAAACTCCCTACCATGCCTGGCTCCACAGGCAACCACTACTATAAGGTTGATATGCCAATCTAGAAATGCTCCATGCATACATATGAAAATAAAACATATAGGCTGGGTGCAGCGACTCATGCCTGTAATCTCAGCACTTTGGGAGGCAGAGGTGGGTGAATCAAAAGGTCAGGAGTTCCAGACCAGCCTGGCCAACATGGTGAAACCCCCCCTCTACTAAAAATACAAAAAATTAGCTGGGTGTGGTGGCAGGTGCCTGTAATCCCAGCTACTTGGGAGGCTGAGGCAAGAGAATCACTTGAATCCGAAAGATGGAGATTGCAGTGAGCCGAGATCGTGCTACTGCACTCCAGCCTGGGTGACAGCGCAAGACTCCATCTCAAAAAAAAAAAAGGCAGTAAAAACATATAAATATGTATGCATATCCTTTTTTATTATAACATAAACGGTAGTATGTTATAGTCCCCCCCCAACTTATTTTAAAAGAATACTCTTGTTATCAAGGGTGAGGGAGAGTTATACAGTGGCATAAAAAGACATCTAAAACACAACGATTAAAGAACAAGTCCAAGGGCAACTTATATAGTTCTAGCCCATTTATATTTGAACAAATGGTCAAGCGAAATACACAACCAACAAACAAATACTTGCAAGGCATTGAACAGTCTTGGAAGGATCCGTAAGGGTAGTTTCCTCTGAGGGGAGTGGGATTGACATGGAGGTGCCGGGCCAATGTGAATGGGGAAATTCCACCTGCACTCTATTCTGCAGAGCCAAATTCCTTAAACAATGAGAATAATGCATTGCTTCTGCACTTAAAAATAACTAAACAGAATCTAAAATCTCAAAGCAAAAACAAGAAAAAGTGTTCTTTGCCAGAATTTTTTAATCATTTTTTTTTTTTTTGCAGAGAAGAGCCTCATTACCTGTTCTGCAGGTGGGGGAAAACACCCAGCGTGCACATATCCAACCCAGAAAGCCGCCTCCAGCTCCAGCTCCACTAGTGTGAAAACAGCAGACACACCCAACTTGCCCTGCCCACCTCCACCAGGCCCAATCACAGAGTCTGACCCCGAGTCCCCAGTCACGCAGTCCGATCTGGATTTGCTCCTTCCGCCAAAATTCCCCACCCCTACCACCCCTCAGGCTTGAGGTCTCCGCTAGCCATCTGGAGACCCCGTGCTAGGCTAGGCCCAAAGACCCACCTTTGCCAGAATTTTATTAAAAATGTGACGTACAACGCAGTACTTACTCCTTGCCACCATCAAGATCCTGCACATCCTTAAGGTATAGGGAAAAATCTATTACTCCAACCTAAATGAAGTAAAATGCACACGTTTAAATTCAAAAAAATTTTCTATTTTTCACAAACCTTAACAACCTTTGAAATTCAGGGTATTTACATTCTTATCTCTTTCCTATGAATATTTACCAGCTCTATGAAGTGGCAGTCAATTGAACAAACCAAAAAAACCCAACCCTACCACCTTCTAGAAGAAAAACTTAGTAGATATCAGATTTCACAGAATATTCTGAAATTTCACGACCTAGTTTAGTTTTCTCTGTTTATTCACTAATCAAATTGTTTACAAAGATCAACAAAATTATTTGTGTACAAAGTAATTATAATAAGAAAAAATATCTGGATCTCTAAAGTGGTGACCTTAGCTGACATTTCTGAGTCTTTCTTCCCCCAAATCTTGGTAAAATGGTCTAAAAAGTATTTCAGGAAAATTCTCCACTCACTAGTTGGAGAACCAAGACCCCTTACACATCTAAACATCAACAGCTTTGTCAAGAAATAAAGCACTTGAGAATGAGTAAACGAGGTCATTCTTATCTGAAATACAGGAAAACCGGGTGCCCTAATGTTCATCAATAGTTGAAATCAATCATGTTACAGCCATATCACAGAACCTATGCAACTATTAACAAAGAATGCAGTGGAGGCATGTGTGATAATATAGAAAAGCTGGGCACAGTGACTCATGCCTCTACTCCCAGCATGCTGGGAGTCTGAGATGGGTGGATGGCTTGAGCTCAGAAGTTCAAGACCAGCCTGGGCAACACAGTGAGACTCCATGTCTACAAAAATACAAAAATTAGCCAGATGCGGTGGTACATGCCTGTAGTCCTAGCTACTTGAGAGGCTGAGGTGGGAGGATTGCCTAAGCCCTGAAGGTTGAGGCTGCAGTGAGCTGAGATCATGCCACTGCACTCCAATCTGAGTGACAGAGGGAGACACTGTCTCACACACACAATAAAACAAAAGATATCCAACAAAACTCAAGGATACAATTTCAATTCAACAAATAATATGTACAACCTCACTGTAGTAATTCTACTTATGTTGCAACCAAGGCTATGTGTAATGGTTCTAACATGTCTGGAACCTCTCTGACACACCTACCAAAAGGCAACTATATTTCCAACTTTCGACTCTGGGAGGCCTAAGTGCCTGTCTTGATGAGTAAAATGCAGCAGAAATGATGCTGTGTGACTTCTGCAGCTAGGTTAAAAAGGGTAATACATAGGCCAGGCATGGTGGCTCACGCCTGTAATCCAAGACTTTGGAGGCCAAGGTGGGCGGATCACCTGAGGTCGGGAGTTTAAGATGAGACTGGCCAACATGGTAAAACCCCGTCTTTAAAAAAAAAAAAAAAAAAAAAAAAGGGGGCAATATACCTTCCACCCAGCTCTTTCTCTTGAGGCATATGTATTTGAAGTTCTGGGCTTTCATGTAAAAAGTCTTGGCTGCCCTGAAGCCACAATGCTGGAGACCATGTAAAGATACAGATGTCCAAGAAACCCCTGCCATTCCAGCCTCCAGCTCCTTGGTCTTCTCAGCACAGCAGACAGACGTGGGAGAGAGCAAACCTTCAGGTGATTCCAGCCCCAGCCACCATCTGACTATAATCTCATGAGCTCTTGAACAAGAACAAAACAGCTGAACCCAGTCAGCCCCCAGCTGTGAAAGATACAGTGATTGCTATTGTTTAAGTGCTGCTGACTTGTTACACAGTAATAGAAGACCAGAAAAAATTTAATTTAAAACAAAACTTATGTGTAAATAATGCACAGAAAAAGTAGAAAAGCTTCTAGAAAGATTTCCCCCAGAATCTTTACCATTACCTGTGGGAAAGGGAGAGGGACTGCGGCAGGGGCGGAGGGTGGGGTGAGAAGAGGAGGTTGAACTTCTCTTTTCACATTATACACTGTGGTACCAACTTTTTCAACAAGCAAGCATTTCTTTTATAATAAAAAACCAAATCTAAAAAAATTCAGCCAAAAAACCCAACAATAGAAAGATGAGAAAGAATTAATACCCAAAGCAAAAATTAATGGATTAGAAAGCAAATAAAGCCCTACTACCAAAGTAGAAGTGATAAATAAGAGCACTGGTTTGTCAAAAGTTCAACAAAGCAGACAAATTTCTACTAAGCATGATCAATATTTAGCAAATACACATTATAAATGAGAACAGTGAGATTTTTTGAAAGCTGTAAGAGAATGCTTTCATACAATTCTAGCATAATAGATATGAATGAAATGATTTCTAAAAAAATTATAAATGGGCCGGGCGTGGTGGCTCACACCTGTAATCCCAGCACTTTGGGAGGCTGAGGCAGGCAGATCACGAGGTCAGGAGTTTGAGACCAGTCTGGCCAACATAGTGAAACCACATTTCTACTGAAAATACAAAAAATTTGCCAAGCCAAATGTGGTGGTATGCATCTGTAATCCCAGCTACTAGAGAGGATGAGGCAGGAATATCGCATGAAACTGGGAGACAGAGATTGCAGTGAGCTGAGATTGTGTCATTGTGTTCGAGCTCGGGGATAGTGTTAGACTTCATCTCAAAAAAAAAAAAAATTGTAAATGACTTTAAAAATTGTCCCAAGACTTAGAAAACCAATAAATTGATCAAAACTATGCAAAAAGGCAGTCAAAGAACAAAAACCAAAAAAAGGAATAAGGGTGAAGTGGTCATACCAGTATGTTCTGGCAAGCCTGCAAAGAAAAAATAATTCCTGATCTAATAAACTTGTAGAAAACAGGAAAAGGAAGGCTATTTTCCAGTTTATTTTATTTTATATGTTTATTTATTTATTTTTGTGACAGAGTCTTGCTCTGTTGCCCAGGCTGGAGTGCAGTGGTGTGATCTTGGTTCACTGCAGCCTCTGCTTCCCAGATTCCAGCGATTCTCCTGCCTCAGCCTCCTGGGTAGCTGGAATTACAGGTGCACGCCACCACATCTGGCTTATTTTTGTATTTTTAGTAGAGACAGCCTTTCACCATGTTGCCCAGGCTGGTCTCAAACTCCTGACCTCAGGTGATCCACCCGCCTCGGGCTCCCAAACTGCTGGGATTATAGGTGTGAGCCACCGTGCCTGGCCTTCCAGTTTATTTTATGAGGCTAATATAATTCTGACACCAAAAGATGGCAAAGGTAGTATAGAAAATTCAGGACAGTTTCACTTAAAAGCAGCGACACAAAAATTCCAAACAAACAGTAAACATGAAATCCAAGAGTTTACAATGATCAAGTAGGGATTATTTTAGAAATTCAGGGCTAATATTCAATAAGAAACCTAGGCATTAATTCAATTATACTTATGCATTAAAAACAGCTATGACATGTTGATAGATCCAAAAAAAAGTATTTGACAACATTCAACATTCATTTCTAATAAAAATACAAAGTAAACTGGAGTGGAACAGCACTCTCTAAACGTGAGAAACAGCAACCCTCAGAAAGCAGCATCAAACACGTATGCTTTGTGATGACACACTACAGGCACTGCCGTTCAAAACAGCACTAGACCAGAATGCTCACTCACATCTATTATCTAATTAAACTCTCAATGGAGTTTTTATTCTGGAATTTGACAAAATGATGTTCAAGTTCATCTGGCAGAATGGATGGCCCAGAAATGTCTGAAACAGAAGTACAGTAGAGTAGGCAGGCGCTTAACTACCAGAGTCTAGAATATACTATATGGCTCCCGTCATTAAAAGAATGAGCCACTGGCATAGGAACAGGGATTCAGGGATCTAACAGAAGAGTTCAGAAATAAACCAATGCATATTATGGATATTTCACATATTATAAAAGTAGACTTTCAAATTAGTAGAAAAAACTATAATATATAAAATGACATTGAGAAAATTGGTTAACTATTTATAAAATAAATTTAGATTCCTACTTCACACTATGCCAAAACAAATGACAAAAATGTGTAAAATTTACATGTTTTACATATAAAGTGTGTAAAAAACTATCCAGGTGGAAGCAGGAAAAGGCCTTGGCCTAGCCCTCCAGGGTCCCGGACTGTGGAGATTGAAGGGGCAGGTCTGCCCTTTCCTGGGTCAGCACAGGGTACCCAGGTAGGGGCACAAGCTCACTATCCATTGGCCAGCCTAGTTGTGTTTGGAGAGGTATTCCCTGTCATCCACACTGGGCTTGATCATCGCTGCCAGGCTTCTAGCCAGTGGGACAAACTTCCCCGTGCTCGTCCGTGTACTGGAAGGCCTGGACCAGTCACAGAGCCTCATCCACAGAGCACACCACAGGCAAATCATTAACAGTGATCTGGCAAAGGTCACCTCTGCCATCGATGATAAAGAGGCCCTGGTAGGCAATGCCCTCATCTGTTTTCAGCACGCTATAATCCTCAGACAAGCTTCCTGTCATGTCAGTAGGCAGGGGATGCTCAGGGGGCCCAAGCCTCCTTCCTTCCGGGGGCTGTAGATGATCCAAGCCAGGTGGGTGAACTGAGTCCATCGAGATGCCCAGCACATCATAGCCCAGCTTACGGAAATCCTCAGCATGGTCGCTGAACACTATGATCTCCGTGGGCCACAGAAAAGTGAAGTCCGGAGGGTAGAAAAAGAGGATGATGTATTTCCCTTTGTAGTTGACAGCTTCGCCCCCTCTAAGACCATCCACCAGGCCAGTGGCCTTGAAGTCAGGGGCTGGCTTTCTGAGCTGTGCCTGACCAGAGGCCATGACTGAAAGCTGCATGGGTAAAGGCTGGACACACGGACAACCAAACGCGTGGACCTGCGTTCCGGTACTCCACATTTGATGTTAAAAGTTAGGGTAATTTTTAGATAGAGAAGGACCTTCAAAGCACAATACTTTAGAAGGTATAAAGAAAACATTTGCTAAACTTGGTCGCCAAAAAATAAAAAATTTTAAGAGCAAACCACCCCCGAGAAACCAGAAAAAAAAATTCCTAACAATTCCGAAAAAGAGTCAACATGCTTAGTCTTTAATAAAGAAGTACAGAAAGAAAACTCAAAAATGGACAACGGATATGAAAAATACTGAACCACCAGTGATAAATAAAACACGAAAATACTTGTAAATTTGAGACAATGAGTTGTTTTGTCAATGAGACTGAAAAAGACCTAGAATGCTCATCACATCCAGTGTCAGGAGGAAATGGGTTCTCTCCCACACTGCTGGTGGGTATCTATAATGAAGACCTTTCTAGATGTCTGTTTTACATTATCTCGCAAAATGTAGGCTATATACTTTGATACAACAACTCCAAATTTATCCTAAGGAAATAAATGGACAAGAGTACAAAAAACTTTAAGGATGTTTATAATATTGGGGTTTTTTTTTTTTTTTTTCAGACAGAGTCTGGCTCTATTGCCCAAACTGGAGTGCAGTGGCATGATTACAGCTCACTGCAGCCTTGATCTCCTAGGCTCAAGCAATCCTCCTGCCTCAGTCTCCAGAGTAGCTGGGATGACAGGCAGCATGCCACCATACCTGGCTAATTTTTTTTATTTTTAGTAGAGACAAGGTCTCACTATGTTGTCCAGTGTGGTCTCAAATTCCTGGGCTCCAGTGATTCTCCTGCCTTGGCCTCCCAAAGTGTTGGGATTACAGGTGTCAGCCATGTGCCCAGCAATAATATTGTCACAATATGGAAACAATCTAAATTAATAAGGTAATTAATAAGGTACTGGTTACATAATGGGTACATTAAAAAAATGAAATACTACATAGCCATTTGAAATGGTTTACATATCTTGTTATTGAGAACTGTGTGAAACATGTTGTTAAATTTTTAAAAATTACAAAATGGTGTGCTTAAAATAATCAGTTTGATTTCACACACACAAAAAAACCCACCAGATATCCCACTCTAAAATACCCAAACATAAACACACACATGCACGCACACACCTTTATTCTTGCACACATCTTTATTCACGCACATACCTTTATTCACACACACACCTTTATTCATGTGCTAGAAGGATGTATACCACAATGTAACATTGCATTCTCCATCTTAGGGTAATGAGAATATGTGTGATGTTTAGTGACTTTTCAAAACTACTTCTCTGAATTCAAAAAAAGATATTTTTCAACATGCAAAAACAATAAAACTTTTTTTTTTTTTTAAAGGGAGGAGAGGTTACAAAAAAACATTGGCCTGCACGTGGAGGGATCAGGGAAGCTTTAGATTCACCAAACACAGTGCAGGAAAAAGGCTGGACATTTTGCTAGATAATGTAAAATAATCCCTTTCTTCCAGGCAGTGGCCCAGCCACAGCTGCAGATGCCCTGAAGATGGGGTGGAAGTGAGGAAGGGGTCAGGGTGTTTATTCCCCCTCAGACATTTACAGTTCCTGCAACCAGGAGTTTGGGCCTCGGCTCTGGTCACCAGCTCCCATGCAGGAAGAAAGCCCACCCCAAGAGGGTTGTCCTTCCCAAAGGGCACCTACACCTTACTGGTTACTTTCATTTGTGCCCCACTTTATCAACCTGACTTCCCAAATCTCTCCTGACTCTATCTTCCTTTTTTTTGAGACGGAGTCTTGGTCTGTCACCAGGCTGGAATGCAGTGGCGCAATCTCGGCTCACTGCAACCTCCGCTTCCTGGGTTCAAGCGATTCTTCTGCCTCAGCCTCCCGAGTAGCTGGGACCACAGGCACGTGCCACCATGCCCAGCTATTTTTTGTATTTTTAGTAGAGATGGGGTTTCACCATGTTGGCCAGGATGATCTCGATCTCTTGACCTCGTGATCCGCCCACCTCAGCCTCCCAAAGTGCTGGGATTACAGGCGTGAGCCACAGCGCCCAGCCGACTCTATCTTCCTACTCCCCATCCAACCTTGTGGGACTTCTAGACTTGTCTCCTCAAAGCTTTTGCTGTATCTATTCTTGGCCACTTCTAACTCATGACCTGAATGGCTGCTAGATTGAGCTTTCTCAAATCCAGGCATGATCATTTCTGTGTACTTCTTAAAAACTTCCAACAGTGGCCGGGCATGGTGGCTCTCGCCTGTAATCCCAGCACTTTGGGAGGCTGAGGCAGGCAGATCACCTGTGGTCGGGAGTTCAAGACCAGACTGACCAACATGGAGAAACCCTGTCTCTCTTTTTTTTTTTTTTTTTTTTGAGACGGAGTATCACTCATGTTACCCAGGCTGGAGTGCAATGGCGTGATCTCGGCTCACCGCAACCTCCGCCTCCTGGGTTCAGGCAATTCTCCTGCCTCAGCCTCCTGAGTAGCCGGGATTACAGGCACGCGCCACCATGCCCAGCTAAATTTTGTATTTTTTTTTTTTAGTAGAGACGGGGTTTCACCATGTTGACCAGGATGGTCTCGATCTCTTGACCTCGTGATCCACCCGCCTCGGCCTCCCAAAGTGCTGGGATTACAGGCTTGAGCCACCGCGCCCGGCCTCGAAACCCTGTCTCTTAACAAAAAAAGCAAAAACAAAAAAAACTTCCAACAGCTTCCCAAAGCTCAGGGGATAAAAGCTACACCCTTCAGCTTGGCATTGATGGCCTAAAAATCAGGCCCAGCTTTCACTTTCACCTCACCCACGGAGCATCCTCTGCTCCAGCCTTGGAGAGCTGTCTGCCTATTCCCAAACCTGCTGAACTTTCCAGGTGTACTTCTGGCTATGCAACTTCTTCACCCTTCCAAGACCTTCCCCAGCTGCTTCCCCAACTGCCCCTGGCCGGTCCTTTACCAGAGGGCTCTTTGCCATTGGCCCTTCTTTAGGTTTAGTACCTGTCTGCAGATACTTTGTAAAGTCCCTGGACTAATGAAGGTGTTTCATCTAGAACCAAAATTTCACTTTACCTGAGAATCCAAGTCTTCTCCTTTTAGGCAGAGATTGGCATCGAGAACATTGAGTCCCACCAGCAGACCGACAATCACCATCCCTTCTTCCTCCATCATTAAAGCCTCAGGCTCATAGAACTCACTAAAAGAGACAGACAGGCCAGAGCGATGCTCAGAAACAGCTTCGCCATCACCATTCCTTTCCCACCCTGCACTGCCGTTTCAACTGTACCCTGGAGACAGGAGATACTACTGTGGGTTTCCTCCCTCCCTTTCATGTCCCTTCACTGCTTCAAGGGCCACTTTTTCTTCTCTGTCCTCTCTTCTCCTTCCGTGGCTTAGAATGGGCTCTCCCCTCCCCATGTCTAAGGTTAACTTCTCCATGCAGACCCTGGATCCCGGTTCTTCTCATCTCCTCCTGGCCACTGTACTCCTGACGGTCACTTTCCCTTCCTGTGTCTCCACTGGCTCCTCTTCTGTGTTGATATGAACTACTTCTCCACTTATGCTCATATAAACAGGAAATGGGATCCCACATCCAAGCATAAAACTCCTTCTTGCATCCCACTAGCAACATCTGCTGCTTTTACTTCCTTATTGCCCAGTTATCTCGGCCATTTGCAGTAGGGGTCCATCCCCTGTCTGTTACTGCTCTGGTCAGCAATGATTTGCTAATGTACCAAATCCAGTGGCATCCAGGCCACTGTGTGTGTGTGTGTGTGTGTGTGTGAACTTTTAAGAACTATCTCATTAGTGGCTGCGTGCGATGGCTCACGCCTGTAATCCTAACACTTTGGGAGGCTGACGTGGGCAGATCACCTGAGGTCAGGAGTTTGAGACCAGCCTGACCAATATGATGAAACCCCATCTCTACTAAAAATACAAAAATCAGCCAGGCATGGTGGCATGCACCTGTAAATCAGAGCTACTCAGGAGGCTGAGACAGGAGAATTGCTTGAACCCAGGAGGTGGTTACAGTGAGCTGAGATCGTGCCACTGCACTCCAGGCTGGGTAACAAGAGTGAAACTCCATCTT